CTGCGCTCCAATCGCTCGCAAACAAATCCCTAAAAAGCAACTTATCAGCTGATTTCGGAATTAACTGGTGCCAACTGCAATCATCTGACTCTCTCTTTCGCATTTTACTACCAAATTACCATCGAATGGATGAACGAATCGTGGAGGGATTGAACATCCTGTTGGTGCTGTAAAACCTTCAACCTCCTGCACGATAACAGCGTTACTGTACAATGCCTGCCATCGTGGCTTCAAAAAAGTTAAAACGTCCGTTTGATGTTGCACGAAGTGGATAAATGATACGCACCAGAGTAGCCGGTGCGATCATACTTTTAACGCAGTCCTGTCCAGCGAGCGTTTGCCTACTAAAAATATAACTGTTTTACACTTTCATATGTGGAAAAATGGTAGATATGTCTGGCTCCTGTCTGGCTCCTAAGGTGGGGAATTTCCACTGAAAATTTCACATGCTGGGGCATGAAAGCTTAATTTTAAAGCATGGGTGGGAAGCATCTTTCCAAAGTTCAACCTCTCACCCTTCCGGCTTCCGAGCTAGTGGCTTTCGCATTAAAACTCTCACGGGATCAAACATAAGACGTTGGCATTATTGGGATTAATTTTGAGTTTGTGAAGCAGGCAGAAAACATCCTCTTGAAGCTTCAGCCTCACAGCTCTGCAGCTCCCCGCGATAACAATTTTCCCCACTGAAACTTTCGCGGAGTTGGACAAGAAACCCGGATATACGTGAAAACTAAATATGATTCTGCGGCGTCGTATTCCTTAAAATTTCATTCCAACTTTCTATCTCTTATGGTTCTCGAGATAGTAATTATTCCTGCCGAAACTTTCACTGCGGCGCAATTGAAATCCACCTTAACTGAAAACTGACTTTGAATTTACGGGGTTCATAGGAGAAAAGCAGTGTTACAACTCTATTCGTAGTCTCTGCACAGCTCCAAGGTGGGAGGGGTTCCTCCTCCTCCATCTCCCGTCTTCTCCCGTCAAAACCCCACTTCTCGCCCTGGCCCACAGGAACCTCACTCTCCCCTCCGGAATCAGCGCTGGATTCGCTTGTTACGGTGTTGCACGCGGAAAGGAAACATTCTCGTTTACTTTCAGCTTCCGAGCCTTCATGGTTCCCGAGCTAATAACCCCTGCCAAAAATTTCACGGGGCCGTATGTGTTATCCGCGGGCACTAAATCGGCTCCAATCGGACGTTGGTAGGGAACACTCTGCTAAAATTTCAGTGGCGCAGCTTTTGTAGTCCCCGAATTAGAAGTGAGGTACATAATTTCGGACACACACACAAACACACAACACCGTGACAATATGCGTTTTGTGCTGCTGTTAAACAGAGCAAAATGCATAATAAATAGCGAGACGCATAAGGGTATTAAGAATATCCGCTGCTTTATAGTCCCACTTGAGCAGATTTAGTCAAAATATTGTTTGTTTTCCGGAAACTTTCTTCCGAAAATCCACGTGCCCCCACGTGAAACTGAGCCGTTCATGAGATTTAGATTCAAATTTACGAGGATGGCACATGAACAGAAAAGATCCTCCAATAATTTTAGCTTTCCGTTATATCCAGCTTTCGAGCTACAAACTTACCGTGCAAAATTTGATGTTCCCATAACTGATTCAAAAGCGTACATGAAGGATGAAAGTTCCAACGTTGTACACTGAGAGGAAGTATTAAACCAGATTTACGCTTTTTGTTTTGTCGCTTTCTAAGGCAGGAAAATTCGCACCAAAAATCCCATATGCCTACACTATGAGACCCAAACTTGTATGAAAGCTGAGTTTAAATTTTTGGGATCAAACTTGCGCTTGAAATAACATTTTAAATTCTTGGCTTC